CCTTTCCTTCCTCATGTCAGAGCCTTCAGCAGGAAGCGGCATGGAAGTAATGCCATCAAATCCCCCAAAGTCAGAGGCAGCAGTGCCCGAGCTCTTACGCTGCAGATATTCACCTATAGGACTGTAGACACCGGAGTGCTAAGGCACCTTCATATAGGAGGAAGTGCTTCGCCCTTTTTTTTTCAGGGCTCATTTTCTCGCTGCTGCTTGGCGCAATTTCCCTATAACATAGCAAATAGCGAGTTTCAGTTCCACTTTAAAGGATAAGTGCACTTTAAGGCAAAGCGAGCTTGTCCTTTTTGCCCCTTATGCCCTAACCTAAACCCCTCCCCCCCCCTTGACGGATTCATACTTATCAGCTGTGGCCGCTGGTGTTTGCTTACATCCAGCGCTGCAAATCTTACTGTCCTGTCCACGCCTGTGTATTGCAGCCTCATAGACTTCTATAGTGCCTAGAGGCAAGATGGTTTCCATAGAAGCCTATGGGGTAGTGGGGCGGTAATATGCAGGTGCAGCCAGGACAGTCTAGTGTGGCTGGTGGATTGAGGCAAGTATGTATCTGTGGAGAGGGCAGTGGGTTAGGTTATCTCAGGGTGAAGGGGCAGAAAGAATACGTGCACTGGGTCTCAAAGTCTGACCATGTTTCATGTTATCAATGATCAGATTACATAACCCCGTATATTGTTTGTGTGGATGAACACTTTTTCCTTCCGCCATCTCATTCTATAGTAAACCTTTCTTTTCTCTCTCACAGGGGCCATACAGGAGAGCCTTACCCTCCAAGGTGGCCACATGGTTTTGAACCCAGAATGAGGGGGCGTAGTCCTTTGCCATATCGGGGAGGAGCTATGCCTCCTGGTCCTCCCTACACCAGCCAAGGAGGCATTCCTTTCAGCTATAGAGACGCAGGGAGAGGCCAGGAAGGGGCCTGGGAAGAGAACAGGCCTGCACCAAAGGAACAGATGAACGTTCCCAGAAGAGCGGCGCCACCAGCGAATTTGAGAGAGGCGGTAGACATGCGCTATCCAGAGCAGAGTCAAGCTCCAGATATGGACTATAGAGAAAGGGAGGTTATGGAGCAAAAAAAGTGGACAGCACCTGATGTTGACTATAGAGGCGAGGAAGGTCCTTCTGTTGCCTACAGGGTGAGGCTTCCACCACCTACCAGACGACTGCTTGCAGACAGGGAGATTGAAGAGAGAGAGGCGTTGGAGTTGGAGTACCGGAAGAGATTAGCTGCCGCCCTCGATTATAGGCAAAGGGAGTCCGTAGAGATGGAGTACAAGCTAAGGCTGGAAGTTATACTGAAACGTAGAGAGAGAGAGGAACTGCTGCTTCGAGAGAGACAGTACACCGAACGGTTAATGAGGGAGAGGGAGGTTCTGGAACGAATGCGAGATAGGGATGCTGTGGCCTTGGCCCTCAGGGACAGGGAGGCTGGGCCCTTGACCCCCAGGGACAGGGAGGCTGCTGCACTTTCTTTCCAGAAGAGGGGAGTTGTAGATTACACAGAGAGGGGGCTACCTGCACATGTTAGAGAGTCTGCAGACTGTGATTTGAGGGTGAAAGAGCCTGACAAGGGCATGGATTTCATAGGAAGAGATAGAGGGATGGAGTATCAGAAGAACCTTCCTAGAGAATACTCAGAAAGTGGGTCCGTATCCATGTCATATCAGGAGAACATGTCTAGAGAATACTCAGAAAGTGGAACTGTGTCCATGCTGTATAGGGAGAAAGAGAAGAGCACTGTGGAGTACATGGAGGTAGAACACCAAGACAATGACGGTTTAACAGCTGGTACCGTGAAAGATGCTGGAGGATTTACCTCATTGGACAAGGACTCTGCAGAAATGCCTTACAGACAAGCCGAGACATCTCATGTGAACTATAAAAAAGGGGAGACCCAAAGGCCAGAATTCCAGAAACACACCGACGCAGACTACCGCAAGAAGGAGTGCGCAGACTCCGATTACCGAGACAAAGAGAGTTCAGACTCAGACTATCGGGCTCGGGAAAATGCTGATTTAAGCTATCGAGAAACAAAGACTGCCGATGCAGATTACCGGGAGAAGGAAAGTACATATTCGGGTTACCGGGAGCGAGAGAGCACAGATACGGATTATCGGCAGAGCGCAGAGGATTACGTAAAAGAGAGCGCAGACAAAATGGAGACAGGAAGAGACTTTTTAGCTTCTAGTGTGGGAGAGGACAGTAAGGGGCTGACGCAACTGACAACAGATTATCCTTTGATTCCAACGAAGATGGAGGAGAAGAGCGGGCCGAAAAAAGTTGAAATGATTCCATTTTTGGCTTTCAGCGAGGAAGAATTATCTTCATTGACCAACATGATGGTTGAAGCTCAGTCCAAATCTCCTGCAGAGGTCCAAGCACTGAGCAGGTCTGAACCGAGCTGTCCCGGGAAACTGGACACGGACTTCCGAGACAGACCGAATCCAAAAGATGTTAATACCGGAGCCAAAGAGATAGCAGAGAAAGCTACAGGCTACACAGCATGTGCCGCCCCTGAGGAGCTCTGTTCAGGCGATCAGGACTTGCGTAGTAAAGACAGCTTTGCTAAAGACTCTAAAAAGGTGGAAGGTGATCAAGACTTGCGGACCGGTGGGCACGTTCAGAAAGACGAGGATCTCCGAGGAGGGGAAACAAAGACCCCAGAGGAATTCTTTGCCCAGAATTCTCTGCTTATGGACTTTCTGCGACTGGCAGCCAAAGAGCTGAGGGAGAAAACCGTGCCAGAGGTTAAAGACGAACCCACCTCTCTTACACCTGCCCTACCGGACTCTAGTGCCGCCAAAACGTTTCACCCAGATCTAATCGCCAGGCCTGCCAGACCATTGGGCGCAGGAAGTAGTATCACCCCCGGCATTGAATTCCTGTGCCGAGAGGACACTGATTATAGGAACATGGACTTCAATGACGTGGACCTGAGAGTTGGCCACAGACCAGATAAACGTGTGGCAGAGAAAAGAGCTCGTGAAGAACCTCAGCCCGGGAGTAAGGTAATTATTGATCATAAGATTGTATTTTATCTCTTACATTGCTGTTGTGGTATATTGTAATGCAAAGCAGGATGTGCCACCAGCCGCAGGCACAAACAAAACTCTTTTGAGCAGGCCTCTCCCCTTTCTGTGTCATGTCTGCGATTCAGACTCTTTTACGGTTGTACAATGCTCAATAACTTGTCACTTTTAAATGAACAGTGCCAATCCTAATGCATATTTTGGTATTGTGACCCCATTAATGTCAAGATTTCTGTAGCAATTTACCTAAAAATATAATATACAGTCTGTAACGTGTGGCCAGCTGTCTCTGGAACAAACAAGAAGATACCTTGCCGCACTCCTTACCGGGGAGCCCCAAATCAGATGAGGGGGGGGGGGGGTGCTCGCAGTGACTGGATGGCGCCGCCAAATAGTACAAAATGAATGGATGTCACCAGCGCACCAATAGTATTGCAGTCCAAAGTGTTCGTTTATTGGAACGTCATGTCACCAGAACTAGCACTTTCGGGGGCCACGCATGGTCCCCTTCATCAGGCTCAGCAATGACTCAGCTATTGGACCCTGCGTGGCCCCAAAATCGCTAGTTCTGGTGACATGACGTTCCAATAAACGAACACTTTGGACTGCAATACTATTGGTGCGCTGGTGACATCCATTCATTTTGTGCCAGCTGTCTCTGCACACCCATCTTGTGGTTTATTATAAGATATATGTAAGAATTGTTAAGTGTCTTTAACGTGTGTTATTTTCATGATATTTTCTCCACCAGGATAAGGACTATCGCAGGACGCCTTTGCCCGAAGGATCGACTAAGATTATATGGCTGGATGGTCTTCCTACTGGAGCCTCTCGGGAAGAGGTAGGTGGCTGGGAGAATGACCTCTGTCAGGGAACAGCCAGGTTTAGCTTTCAGTGAAGTGATCGGTGTTGTACTGGAACAGTAAAAAGCTGATACAAGTGGATGTCAGATTTCATACATCCATGCTCCCCTTCCATTAGGCCTTATTCAGACGAGCGAATGAGGGCAGACAGGCTGCTGCGTTCAGAGGTGGCTCAGCTCTGCCTTGGACACAGCAGGACTCTGTGCTATGGCAGCTTACAAACTGGCTGATTAGCTGAGAGTCTAGACACAAACTGCGTCCAGGGCCGGTCAGAGGTTTGCATGTATTCACTCAGGTGATCAGTTACATGAGAACAATGGAGGGGCCGGTTATTGATGTGTACAGAGTGCAAATCTGCCAGCCGCCGCTTCAGTTCGCACGCACAGAGGGAAATTTATCAAAATCTGGAGCAGCTGTGCATGGCAACCAATCAGCTTCTCTCTTTCAGTTACAATTTTTAACTGAGCAAACTGAAGAAAAAAGCTGATTCTTTGCCGTGGGCAACTGCTCCAGAATCTGTCTGCTTCAGTTTTGATAAATTCCCCCCACTCTGCATGTAGCTGTTCCTCTAGCGCAAGAATACGCCTGCAGCCACCGCCACCCCCTCATGTAAATGGAGTCTTAAAGTGCTTGTAAAGGCGAAACATTTCTTTTAGTTATGATGAAGTTTGGAAGAGTTAAACCCTCTGAAGTTTTTATCATGGTCTGTAGCACCACTGGAGATATTCATAGTCTCTATTTGTTCTGGTGACCATGGTGCCTAGGACTGAACCTGAAGGAGAATCCAAAATCTTTACTTGTCACCAGAAAAGTAGGTGAAGGGAACTCTTCCAATGGGGGCACCTGTGTAAGAAGGGGTTTAACTCCACTTTGGGAGATTTCATTTAACTTTTGTGTTGTATCTCTAATACAGAGAGTACAGGGAAATCTCCACGTCACTATGCAGATTGAAATATAATAGATGATGGGGTTTAACCTTTCCCTGTTTTATCCACAACTAAAAAAGAGAGAGGTTTGCGTTCATTTTTGAACTGTATTACTGTCTATGATTTCACTTAGATATCCTGTCAAACCTTTTTCTCCACTCCTCATCCAAGGTGACAACACTCACAGTAGTGGTGCGTTGTCACCCTCTGAAGCACGCGTCTGAGAAGATCTCCTGGATGAAAACGCACACAGTGTGCTGGTACACTTTGTCTATGCCCCAGCACTGACACCAGCCTATTCATCCTCGATTGGCTTCAAGAGCACAGAGCCTCATGTGGTCTTCATTCATGTGCTGCAGGAGCGCAGAGCATCGTGTAGTCCTCACTCATTGCCTGCAGGAGCACAGAGCATCGTGTACTCCTCACTCTTTGGCTGCAGGAGCGCAGAGCATCGTGTAGTCCTCACTCTTTGGCTGCAGGAGCGCAGAGCATCGTTTTGTCCTCACTCTTTGGCTGCAGGAGCGCAGAGCATCGTTTTGTCCTCACTCTTTGGCTGCAGGAGCGCAGAGCATCGTGTAGTCCTCACTCTTTGGCTGCAGGAGCGCAGAGCATCGTGTAGTCCTCACTCTTTGGCTGCAGGAGCGCAGAGCATCGTGTAGTCCCCACTCATTGCCTGCAGGAGCACAGAGCATTGTGTAGTCCTCACTCATTGCCTGCAGGAGCGCAGAGCATTGTGTAGTCCTCACTCATTGCCTGCAGGAGCGCAGACCATCGTGAAGTCCGCACTCATTGGCTGAAGGAGCGCAGAGCATTGTGAAGTCCTCACTCTTTGCCTGCAGGAGCGCAGAGCATCGTGAAGTCCTCACTCATTGGCTGCAGGAGCGCAGAGCATCGTGAAGTCCTCACTCATTGGCTGCAGGAGCAGTCGGTTGAACAGTGACTGCAGTCACTGTTTGTGTATTCTTACAGCGGCATGATCTGGTTCTCGGAGTACTATAGCCTGGTGGTGGAGATGCATCCATCCATGCTTTTTAGTACTGATGGCGGAATCTGTTACACTAACCAATTTCTTCTCTTCTATGATCAGCTTAACCAGCCCTAGCTTGTCACTCAATGGATAACCACACCCATGCCCCACCCGCCCAAAGTGGCCCTAATGAACTGAGTTATGGGTGATGTAGTTCACTATGGGGGATGCAGCAGCTAGATCAGCTCTTGGAAATGACATGCTGGCTCTTCATAAATGCTCCCATGAGCACCCTTAGGATTCTGTAATAGAGTTGTGCAAAGATGATGTGGAACTAGATTTATCCATTCTTGCAAGAGGGTAAGAAGTTTATTTTCAACATTAAAAGAAAAGTTACGTATGGAACATTCGTTTTTCTGCTAGATTTGTAAATGGACAACTGCTGCCTTAAGTCAGGCTTCTGGATCTCCATGAAGTCTCATACTGTAGAGACGACCTGCACCTGACTGCAGTGAAGATATAGGTGAAGAGCCAGGACCTTGCTATACTCAATACCTCGGTTTTCATGTATTTTATTCACCTATTCCTTTTCCTCTCCAATGGAAACTCTATGCAAACAAGCTGCTGTGTGTGTTATTCCTGATACTCCACGACGGAGCCTGCTGGGGAGATGGAGGAACATAGACAGCCATGTTTGGCACCTGAGGCCCAGTGCACATGTCATAAAGTTTGGTCTGTCATGCTGGCCAGGAGGGTAGATTGTTCTGTGACCGGCACGGAGTGAGGAGAGGTTGCTGCAGTCTGGTTGTGATTTTCTTTTTGGTTGTGGTTGTAGTCTTTTTTTTTTAGTAATGATTGCGGGGGTACCCCCAGTGGCCACTTTATTCGGTACACCCATCTAATGTCCATAAAACGCTGAACATGGCCTCCACAATGCTCGGGTATGTTCCAACACCAGTATAAGCCTGAACGATGGACAGCAGACAGGATACATCTGTGGAGTCACATCAAGTACACAGGATTCTGACCTATCTGTATTTAGCAGCAGAAATGTAGTTTGTGCTTCATATTCCCAGCCTTCACCCTAGTATTGTAGATATATTTTATGTGGTGTGTTGGTGCAGGTAAAGCTGTGTATTCGTATCATAGAAGGTACCCCGGGGATGGGGGAGGCCATCTTAGCATTGATGTCTTTGCTCGGAGCGGGTAGGTTGGACATTTGTTAGGAGCTCTCGGTTAGTGAATAATGGAAAGTAACGTGTAGATATATTTTCTGTGGTGTGTTGGTGCAGGTACAGTGAAAGGGACCCTATCTTAGCATGGATGTCTTTGCTCGGACTGGGTAGGTCAGTCAGTCAGGGGATCTGGTGGGGCCAGCTTAGTATACACACAGGGGTACGGCTTTGTCCGTCTGTCTTCTCATTCTGTTTTTCTCCCACAGATCCTGTGCGCGCTCGGAAGTGCGCACATCCTGCCAGGAGATGGAGTGAACCTCATCGGATACATTCCAGGTGAGTGAACTGTTTTCTGCCGATTACTAGATGAAGTGTAAGTGAGCTGAGCTGTCCTCAGTGGGGTCTGTAAGCATGAAAATGTAGTGCTAGTGTTCCTGGTGACATATATTAAAACTGGACATCTAGGGGCCTCCGATAAAAGTCCTCCAAAATATGCCACAACAGACCGGAGCTGTGTGGAGAATGTACTAGTGTATATATATATATATATATATGTGTGTGTATGCATGCATACATACATATATATGAGATTGTTACAAAGAAAGGGGGTTGTACTGCTGCAGACAGGAAGTGCATATACTTGCAGCAGTCCATACTTGTCCCGAAGACCCACCCACACACATTCCTATTGGTCCATCACTAGCAATGTGCGTAAGGGGGACGGGAAAAGTGTCGGCGCTATATAAATGGCCTGAGATTTAGCCGTGAGAAGGAAGTTTGGTGAGCTGCCGTAGGTTGGTGCCTTCACTTCCTGAATGCAGTTTGCCCTCTTTCCCCCAGTGACAGTCACTTTAATTCTGTGTTTTCATGCCTCTGCTGATGGCTGACGCAGTACAACACTCTGGTATAGGAGAGAGATCTGCAGGAAGATCTTGCTGCGGAGTCTGATGCTGCAACTCCAGAATGCCAGGAAATTGTACAAGACTTTGGCCCCTTAACTGCTGCAATTAATGTCACCCCTGCTTCATCTACTGGAATATCCCTCCTCTGGCTATGCATTCAGCTTTGTTAACCCCTCTGTGCACATCAGGGTAGCATAAAAAGCTTCATTATTGCCGATCATTGGCATGTTGATGAAGCCTTTCACTCCCTATGTGCATCGGTGACAGAGAATGTTGCATATTCCACATATCTGAAGAGAGGAGATATGGGCGTGTGCAGTATTATTCCCTGTAGTTTGTATGGCCGAGTCATCTTCCCTTTGAAAGCTTAGTCCACCTGTTAGACCATGTTTCATATTCCACCTATATTTAGGGTGTAAAATAAAGCATGGTCACATATAGCATCACCCTAACCACTGCCCCCCCACCCTTCCCTAAATCGTGGGGTGCATCTTCTGAAAGCATTCTGTTTGAATTTATTGTGGCCTTGCGTGGCTTTGCCCACACAGCAGCGTCGCCACGTTCCAGGATAAATCCAGATACCACAAGTGCCATCTGTCACTGCGGCAGCGGAGCAGTGACATCACTGCGATTTGTAGTCCATTCACAACTTCCTCCATCCCCATAACTCAGGGATGTCCAAACTGCGGCCCTCCAGCTGTGGTGGAACTACGAATCCCATGAGGCTTTGCAAGATTCTCACAGACATGACTCCCGGAGAGAGATGCTTCATGGGATTTGTAGTGTCACCACAGCTGGAGGGCCGGAGTTTGGACATCCCTGCCATAACTGAAGGTCAGTACTTCTGCATGGACCTGGTGATGGGGGCTGAGCAATGCAAAAGCCTGTGCATTGCACCCGTGACACACTGATCGTGTTTGCAATGCTCCGTAGGCCTGAATGCAGACATGTAATAAGTCCACATTGAATATTTTATCGGTGCATTTATTAATTTTTTTCGGCTATGCCTTACCCCTCCTATGAGCTGCATGTGGTTCTCGGAGCCCGCACATCTGTCTGCGGATTCCTGGGTGCCAGTATGCCGGGAACCATTGAAATTCCCAGCTAGAGGAACTTTGTCACAGATTCTTTCAGCAGCAGGTGGAGATTTCACTGGCGGTCTTTCTTCCTTTACAAAGGCCTTTTACATTTCTTTATGCCGGAAGATATGTCACCCCTAGCACAGGCGTCTCGGGGGGGGGGGGGGGCGCCTTGGCGTCTTGTTAATGACTGTCTGATAATGTTGTATGGCTCATTTACTTTCAATTTAGATATGTCCTGTGTACAGAAAACATTTTACAGAATGAAGTGGAAAAAAAAAAAGTCACTCCTTGTGCAAATTCTGAATGTGACAGGGTTGTTCATATTATTCTTGGTGCATTTACGTATAGGGACTTCCTGGTGGTAAAACGTGTATTTTATTTCTTGCTGTAGAGGGGTAATGCTTTTTTATAGCCACAATGTAGACATTAGGGGAGGGCATGTCTATAGACAGTTGTGGCCCCATTCATTTCTACTCTGTGCATTAATATGTGTTTGAATTAAAGGCACAGCGTTCATTTGAATGGGTTGCCAATACACCACAACACACCTGCATTATCTTTCCTGTAGTGTGTTATCGTATGCTGCATTGCTGGTGTGTCGGGGGGGTCTGTTCCTTTAGTGCAGGGGCAAGCAAAGTCAGACCCTCCAGCTATGGTGAAACTACAAATGCCTTTATGCCTCTGCCTATGCGTGTCATGCCTGTGGCTGTATTGCAATGCCTTATGGGATTTGTATTTCCACAGCAGCTGGTGGGCCCGATTTTTGCCTAGCCCCTGCTTTTAGTGCATTGAAGTACTGTTCATAATGAATGGCAATGCATTGGTGTGTAGGAGGCATGAGGCCCATTTCCTTTGCACAACATGGTCAGGAATGGTGGTGGGGAAGGGAGTGGGGAGGCTTTGGGTTGCTGTCACTTTCAGGTCTCGGAGAACCCCTGCTAATAATGAATTTATCTTTAGCTAACCAGAAAGTAGAAGAATGTGATGTGCATACAGTATTTGACACCCGGGAGAATCATTTTACAATGCCTTCCCGATCTATACAAGGACATTATTTCCTATTATAATTCTCAAACTAAATATTAATAAAAATGGCTACAAAAGAAACCAATAAAAATGGTTTGCTTCCCTTACATTGCTGGTCAGTGGTGGAATACCCCCTTACATTGCTGGTCAGTGGTGGAATACCCCCTTACATTGCTGGTCAGTGTAGGTTCCCCTGGTAATCATTGGAGAAGTGTCCATACATTAGTAAACAGTATACTGCCCCATTACTTTGGTGGTGAATGCAGAAGGAACCCCTTTCATTGTATGTCAGTGGAAAAGTGTCTCCTTACATTGGTGGTCAGTGTAGGCAATAGATCAAACCACAATTGCTCACTGCTTAAAGAACCCCCAGGAACCAAGGTAGGGACCTTACGGTTCCACAGAACCCTGGTTGAAGGTCCTGGAGTGTCAGTGCTGCTTACAGGAGCCATTGAGATATTGCTCATGGATGTGATTGTCCATGGGGTGTGCCTCTACTCATACCTGTGAGAAACCTATTTTTGTTCTGTTTTTGTCTTTTAGAGCAGATATTGATGTACTGTTTTTTTCTTTAGCCGTTTTCTAAGGTTATATTTTTTGGTGTCGTATAGAAGTAATACAAAGGTCTCTAGATGTTCATTTTACATCTTACTGTGTTGTAATTCTATGAGCTGTGGATCAAGTGATTTGAACTGTTTTTTTTGGGTAGGGCTGTGTTATTTATGACTGGTCCTGTTTTCTTCATGTCATACTAACTGGCGTCCCGTCTGTATCACATGCTGTCCCCAGGTTACAGCCTCGGCTCTGTCTGCGTGGAGTTTTCCCTCGTGGAAGAGGCCGTCGGATGCATGGAAGCCAACAAGGTTGCTTTATCCACCGATTCAGCGCTGCTGTGGAAGGATGGACAGGAGGGAGGGGGGGGTGAGGGATGGGTGAAAGGGCTTCAGGTGGCACTAGCAGAGGGTTAACAAGTGTGCTGGGGCATCTGTGACTGACACACTTGTGTATCCTTTGTGTGCCACGCACTATACGTGTGTTGATGGTAGCACACTGCTATACTCTGCCCGTATCTGTGACTGCAGAGTTCTCCATGACAGGCCACTGGGGAACGGCTCTGTGCCGAAGACTGACTGTGCCGAAGACTGATGAGGAGTAGAGAGGGAACCTAAAAACACTAAACCTGTCAGCTAAGGTAGCATTAAAGCCCAACTCCAGCCTCCCTTTATATAATAAACACCATTGGGATAAAACAAAAAGCTCAATGTAATACCTACTCCCCGGCTCTATCCCCGCCAGATACTTGACTCCATTCAGTAGCGCCAATCCTTATCTAGGTTGAATGACAACCAGCGTCATTCAACTCACTTTCTGTAAGCACAGGCTGTCACCCCTGGGGGTGCGGCATCACACTGCCTGGGCTCAGAGTGCATAGGATGGCGCTCACATGTCACAGCTTGAGCACCATTCTATCTATCAGCGAGGACCGCTTAGCACCAAAAAAAAAGAAAGGACCCAACATCTCGCATGTCCAGCTGGAAGAATCCAGGATCTAAGGTATGGATTTTGTTTTTTTTTATTTTGTGGGTGAGGTGCGGGATTGGGGGGCACAAAAAAAAAGCTGGAGTTGACCTTTAATGTGCATGCAGTAAAAGAAACATTTCTTGATGGTACAGTACAGGACACAGGCAGATTTAGAGACCTCTGGGTAATATGCCGGTATCATCAAGTGACTGGACACTGGTCAGCGCTGTGAGGACCTCTCCAGGAAATCCTCATGTTTTGTTTTTAGCAAGCCATAGAGGACACACACAGGAGGAGGAGGGTGCCGTTTCCTGTACTGTACTCCAAGAAATGGACTTTACTGGTAAGTCAAAAATCCTTGTTTTACATCTTTTCACTCGGATGTTAGAACATCCCACCCATCTGCTATGAACTGCCGATCTTCAGGAAAATCAGTGGGGGAAATTTTATCAAAACTGGAGCAGCTGTGCATGGCAACCAATCAGCTTCTCTACTCAGTTTGTTCAGTTAAGTTTGGCAAAATTCCCTTCATTGACTTTATCTTGTGGAGTGATGTGTCACATGACTGGTGGGTACCAGACTCACCCGACATATCAGTCATACCTCTTTATTTCTTGTGTGATGTCATAAAAAGCCTTGAGCACAAAGTTGGAACCATTTCCTTTGTGCAGTAAGGATTCCGTCACAGCGAGGCCGCCGCCTTTCTTGTGGCTGAAGGTTATCTTTATTTATAGAGGTTCTATAAGGGCTACGTCAGTGCTGAACAAATCCAGGTCGCTAGATTTCCATGACGAATAAAGTTCTGGCGACCAGGTATTTTTAGAATTTTATGTGGAGTTTCATTAACTGCAACTCCAACATCTGCTACTAGATGGCACGTCTTAGAAATGGGATTTCCTCCGTTACAAGTGTTTTGTGTGTAGAAGAGCGAGAGGACATGTGGGTCAGTACTGTGCCATTGGGAGGACATTGTGCCATTGAGAGGACATGTGGGTCAGTACTGTGCCATTGGGAGGACATGTGGGTCAGTACTGTGCCATTGGGAGGACATGTGGGTCAGTACTGTGCCATTGGGAGGACATGTGGGTCAGTACTGTGACATTGGGAGGACATGTGGGTCAGTACTGTGACATTGGGAGGAGATGTGGGTTAGTACTGTGACATTGGGAGGACGTGTGGGTCAGTACTGTGACATTGGGAGGACGTGTGGGTCAGTGCTGTGACATTGGGAGGACGTGTGGGTCAGTGCTGTGACATTGGGAGGACGTGTGGGTCAGTGCTGTGACATTGGGAGGACGTGTGGGTCAGTGCTGTGACATTGGGAGGACGTGTGGGTCAGTACTGTGCCATTGGGAGGGCATGTGGGTCAGTACTGTGCCATTGGGAGGGCATGTGGGTCAGTACTGTGCCATTGGGAGGACATGTGGGTCAGTACTGTGCCATTGGGAGGACATGTGGGTCAGTACTGTGCCATTGGGAGGACATGTGGGTCTGTACTGTGACATTGGGAGGACATGTGGGTCAGTACTGTGACATTGGGAGGACATGTGGGTCAGTATTGTATGTGTGGGATTGTCCAGAAACATAGCGGGCAGGATTTTTCTGTCTCTTTTACACATGTAATATTTTGCACACTTTAGTTTGTGAATTTGTGTAAATATCTCCATAAAATGAGATTGGGAAATAATGATCACCATGACAGCCGGCTGTAGTTTGCTACTAGATTTGTCCAGGCCTTGGCTATATGAAATCTCTTCTCCAAGAAAACTGCGCCTCGAAGGGGGAGATCTCAAAGAATACATTTGGCAGTACAGGTAGCCCTCGGTTTGCGGCGCTTTCGTTTGCGCCGTTTCAAAATGGCGCCCTTTTCAGCCGGCCACATTATCGTCATTGCAACAACTGCGCCACCTATTGTATCCTTAAGGATATGTAGGGGAACGCTGTACAACTGCCAGTAGCTACAATACAACAGTATGTACAGTACTGTGCAGAAGTTCTGGCAGCTATATCGGGGCAGATCGAGGATCGCGCCTCAATCAAAAAAAATCTGTGCACGCATGGAGATATAGAGGAGCGCAGGGGTACACTTGGAGACACGGAGGAGCACAGGGGTACTCTTGGAGACACGGAGGAGCACAGGGGTACACTTGGAGACACGGAGCACGGGTACACTTGGAGACACGGCGGAGCACGGGTACACTTGGAGACACGGAGGAGCACAGGGGTACACTTGGAGACACGGAGGAGCACATAAAGCCATGCTTGGGGCACAGGGGTACCCTTGGAGATATGGAGGAGCACCAGGGTACACTTGGAGATACAGAGGCACATAGAGCCATGCTTGGGGTACAGGGGTACCCTCGGGCATTCATGTCATTTTTGAGAGAGGCCTGGAACCTATCTCCCTCACTTCCCATTGACTTGCATTATATTCTGGGTTTCTTTTTGCAAACATTCCTTCTGGAACGTAAACCTGGCATAAATCGAGGGCAACCTTTCATCCGGTGCCAGGGACGCATCAGCAAATTCTGTATAGCACGTCTCTCCGGAACACGTAAACCTGTTGGATGTGGGAAAAATAGATGATGCGGTCTACAATATCCTATCGTTCGATGTTCTGGACTGCTGTGAGGGAATCTCCTGGGAAATTTGCTTGTAACACTTTAATATACAAAAAAGCGACAAAAACAAGCGAACCCTTGCCAGATTCTCCAGCTGCAAAGCCTTTACTTGTCACATTCCTAGTACATCAGAGGCGCCCATCGGGTGGTTGTGCGGTTTGCCCAAAATTACCAGCTGCAGATCCTCGGTGAAGGTTGTCTCTGTTCAGCACTCTTCTGCTGTGCCCTGTGCCCGCAGGGTATCATCAGGCGCAGCACCATGGAGCCTCTTCTCACTCCCCCCCCCATCCAAAATACCTTGTTAGGTTTACGCTTATATTTAGTTTGCGCGTCTCCTCTCCCGCTGCTTTCTGATGTAATCATTGTTGCGTTGCAGACATCTCATAGTCGCTGCAGTCACAGCTTTTTAGTTTTTGTGTTTCCATTACGGTCACCTGCAATACTGTCACACAGCGGTGCGTCCTCCACTGCATGGCTCTCTGCGTGTCTCATCATCATAGATATGACATGGCTGCCAAATAGAAGCTGAAGCCTTATGCCAGAGGCTGCGTCATGTATAGAGAGGTCAGTCACCATTGTACAGCCGGGTCTGCGACATGCGCTTGTGTGGTTGTAGAAACGTAGGCAGGAAATGCTGGGGCACTCGCTTTACAATAGGATGCAATGGGTCATGAAAGTGCAGTACACCATAGCAGTCTCTCTGCTTCCCTCCCCTCCTCCTCTCCTTTTATCTGTCTTCCCTTTTCTTTCTCTTCTCTCCTCTTCCCTATCTCTCTTCTCTCTCTCTTCGGCCCCTTTCTCATCCCCCGCTCCATCCCTCCATCAAAGTCTTTATATTCCTGGTAGATATAAATAAAACACTATTTATCCCAGCTATGTATTATCTACAACATGGCATTTTGTTACACAGCGTAATGAAATGCCTAAATCTGCCTTTATATCATTTCTCGTTCATTAACTACCTTGTAGGACCCAGACTAATGGAGGCCAGCACTCAGAACCTTCTTAAAGTGACACTGAACTCGGGAGTTAACCCCTTCATGACTGAGGCCCTTTTTTCAATTTTTGCACCCATGTTATATTCCACATTTTAGACCTGAAAATGACGTAAAACCCCCCAACATTATATATTTTCTGAATGCCAAGACCCCATAGAATAAAATGGTGGTAGTTGAAAATTTTTATGTTGCGCAATAAGGAACATAGTTCTCCTTTAAATCTTAAAAATGCATTCAAGTACCTAAATTCTGAACAACAATGTATCTTATTTGTGTGTCACTCGGCTGTAGATCCTCCAATCATCTCTGACACTGTCCTTCCTTCTGGAGGGGGGCATAAGGCACCAATTCAGAGATGATTGGAGGATCTACAGCCGAGAGATGCAAAAATAAGATAGTGTTGTTCGTATTTCGGGAACTTTGGAGGAATTTTTAGGATTGATCTCCTGAGTTCAGTGTCACTCTAATTTCCACACTGCTGTCATTCTATTGCAGGAAATGTGCTTGCAGGAGGGAGGAGCACTGGACTGACCATCGGTTTTCTGCTTATTTGTCCATTGGGCAGACTCGGGGCAGGTTGGTGGCTAAGCTGCATTGCTTGTAGTAGAAGGAAGTGAGGTCACTGACCTAGCTGTGCTGTGCTGAGATTACCTGAATCAAACGAATGGCTAAACAGAGGAGTACAATTACTTGCGCAGATAACGCAGTTCACATATATGTAATTCACAAAGCGGTTTGCCTGGGTTTCTGGGGATCCGGTGTCCTCACTCATCAGCTGAGGTCGTTTGTTTGCTGCGGAATGGAAAAAAAACAATTCGCGCTCGCGCCATTCACCCCGAAAACAAGCGGCTCCAACCTGCAATCTATCACTTTGTCATTGGGACTGGCTTAGCATGAAGCGCGTCTACTGTGTGCGGATTTTATTGTTAGCGCTGTGCAGTGCAGACACGTCTTCATTATGGGCAATGTGGGGTTACCTGTCGCCCCTGTGTGTTACCTGTCGCCCCTGTGTGTTACCTGTCGCCCCTGTGTGTTACCTGTCGCCCCTGTGTGTTACCTGTCGCCCCTGTGTGTCACCTGTCGCCCGTTCCAGACCCTAACCGCTCTGAAAAGAACCCCCTGCGCCCCGTGTGCTAAAAGGTGTGTTTTGAAATATGGGGGGTGGGAGGGGTTATTACCTGTCGCCCCTGTGTGTTACCTGTCGCCCCTGTGTGTTACCTGTCGCCCCTGTGTGTCACCTGTCGCCCGTTCCAGACCCTAACCGCTCTGAAAAGAACCCCCTGCGCCCCGTGTGCTAAAAGGTGTGTTTTGAAATATGGGGGGTGGGAGGGGTTGGCTGCGGCTGACAGGTTGGATGGAGACGGTGTTCCATCCATGCATGTACAGACTCTATGGTGTGGTGCTGGAAGTAGTCAGATATTCAGAATGTAAAGGGACCGCCACAGAGGATGACATCTCATGCTGTGAATATACCATCACACTTTCTTTGCGCAGCCTTTAGGCATCATCTTCCTCAGTATTCCGCCTCCCGCAGGGTGAAAAATAATAGCTGGATGGCCGCCTGCCGTGTCTATAGGGAGAGGGAAGCCAATTACTCCATAGATACATTGTTTTTTATTATTTCCTCATATGGCGCAGTGCTGAGAGCGCTACCTAAGCGGTTTCTCTCCAGTCCTTTGTCCTCTCATATCTTATTGAGGAGATGGACACTTCATGGAGATTATATTTAGCTGAAACCAACCTGAATACAGAAACCTGCAGGAAGAGACTTATCGGGTGCTGAGCGCTTTGTCTACATTGTAGACGAGTTATGTGATCAAAGAGGTTATCGTTCGTGATTTTTAATCTTTGTCTCCTCCGGAGTTCATGCTGCGCCGGTCCACTTTTATTATCCATGTCTGTATATTGCCTCTGGGTGATCCTGATCTGGGGTGGACCGCGGTTGTGGTCAGAACATGTCGTTTTTGGTTGGTAGTGCCAGCATCTTCGTATCCATTGCAGTTGCCCTGGGTGGTGGGTGACTCTTGTATCGGCTCCAGCACGCTGCAGATTGAGTTCTCCTTCCATTGTTGGGGTATCGTACGCTTCATGGGTAGGTGGAACTGGCACATTCCTATTCTTGGGGCGCATCAAGCGAGGTATCGTACATTTCATGGGTAGGTGAAACTGGGACAATCTTGTACTTGGGGGGGGGGGCATCAAGCTGGACTAGTAGATGAGAGGTGAAGAACACGCTCCGTGCCGGTGTCCAAAGGTAAAGGATTGTTGTCGCTCTAAGCTGCAACCTGGCATCTGCCCATTCGGCCATGAGCTTGCCCCTCTCCTTTGTCAGCAGTTAAAGATAATCATGGCCACACTTTGTAGAATACGACGTTCCCAAACAAACCACCGCGCCTATGCAGGCTCCATCTGTTTCTTTCCACTGATGCATTTCACCCACTTGTGCACAATGGACGAAACGCATTAGTTGACAGGTGGAGTTGTATCTCTTCACAATGCTGGATGGCCTCCTCCCTGGAAAATGTGACTTACCAGCCAGCACTGGACTATTGCAAAAAACAAAACACAATTGTAAAGGGACCCAAATTCACTTTGTTTTCCAGGGAAATGGAGGTTTGTTGTACCCGATCGAAGGATTGGAATAAGTAGCGAAGTCAGCAGGTCGGGGCTTGTATATTTCTTACCATTGTAGAGTCATGGTGATCCCGATTTCCTTGGGTACCTGACACCCCTCCTGTCTGCAAGTAATTTATACGAAATATTAATTTGTTTTATTTCATGTTTACTTTTTTTAAAATAAATCATTTTATTTTTAGCATCAAATAAAGAACATAAAACAGAATGTTTGTTTAGTTTCCGTGTAAAGTGAATGAATTCAGGTTTTGCACAAGGAACGTTTGTCTCCATTGTCTTTTGTTAAGCTCCGGAGTTTGGCAGGCGGTGACCTTGTTCTGCTGTCATATAGTCCAGGTTGTTTTGGCTGCTCTGTTGGGTTTGTATAGCTGAACCCCACAGCTGACGCTCAGGTTCCGGTATCTGCAATCTCTCTCTGTGTTGTGTTTTTCAGGGCGTTCTACATTTTAAAGGGAAAAAGGTCACCCTGAAATATATTCCGAATTCCGACCGATGGTCATGCCTTCAGGTGAGCGATCATTCTTCTCGATGACGGAACGCGCCGATGTGCCGCTGGTGTTCTGATCCGTTCTCTCTCTCTCTCTCTCTCTCTCCCGCAGTGTAAAGCCGTCAATGTGCTATCCAAAGAGAGGTGCTGGCAGTGCAGTGCGCTGAGGGCCGGTGAGTGAACGCCGTTCGGTGTCTTTATGGGAAACATTTATAAAGGATACGTTTTTATTTTCTTTCCATGGGAAGTGACGCTAAACTCCGGAGAGAAATCTTAACAATCCCTCCAAGTCCCTCAACTATGAACAGCAATGGGGGGCATTTATCAAACTAAATCTGGAGCAGTTGCCCATGGCAACTAATCAGCATTTATCTTCAGTTTGCTCCGGTAAGATTTGAAAATGAGACAGAGAAGCTGATTGCAGTGACAAATGTATTTTTAAGATTTAACTCCGGAGTTTAGGTCACTCTAACCCTTTCGTTGCCAAGGCCTTTTTTTCTTTTTTTGCACACATGATATAATCCACATTTTAGGCTTGAAAATTACTTCAAAACCCCAAAACATTATATATGAGAAGCCAACTCAAAAGCCATTAAATATGAAAGCCAAGACCCTGTAGAATAAAATGGTGGCAGTTGCATAATATTGGCGTAACTCTTTATCAAACCTGAAAAGTTTGTGAAAAATGCACTTAAGTTCATTTTTAGTGCCCCAAAACACAATGAAATACCCATTTGTTTTTGTAAAATATAAAAGATAAGTTTGCACCGAGTAAATAGATGTCCAACATGCCCAGGTTACAAACTGCGTGCGTCCGTGAAACAGCGACAAAATTCAGTAAACCAAAAAGTCCATAGACTTTGTTTTAAAAGCCCCTACAGGTCGTCACTTTAGAGATACGCGTACATATTGGCCCGAGAATTATTGCTCTGCAGGGTGTGCAGCGATACCCAACATGTGTAGCATGATCGACGTTTTCGTACATAGGTGCACCCGACACGTTTGTGTGAATGCGCTCGTGGAGGACTTGAAATTTTTTTTTTAATTATGTTTACATTTATTTTATCCTATATTTATTTTTTTACTTTAATTGCTATCACTTGATGGTATGTTGGCGTTGACAGGTCCTCTTTAAGGTGATACTGGGGGTCCAAAAGACCCCTAGTGTCACCTTTTCACTTTTAAGCTATTGAAGTGCGGATCGCCGGCTTCAGGAGCCGAGCAATGACAGCTCAGGGACCGGAAACGATGCAGTCTTCGTCACTCCCGGTCCCATAGAGTAGGGAGGAGATCAGTGAACAGAAGCTCGCCGCTCTCCTCCCCAGCTTCCTGCCGGCACCCGACATGCTGGTCCCTGGCCCGCAAGAGGGGCAGCAGAGCCCGGGAAACACAGCGGGGGTTGATGGGCACTTTACCAGCCCATGGAAGCGATCTGGAGGCTCGGCTACTTCCAACTGCCGGCTTTACAAAAGAGTCGGCTGGGAGTCCGTTTACAGGGCCGTGCTGCCAGTGACATACTATGTACATCCGTGGACACAAAGGGGTTAAAATATTTCATATAGTTTTATATTACACAAAATCAGGTGAAATCTTCATCTCTGTCTCCCCTCGCAGGTACTGACCATCTGTCTCTCAGAGACTCCCATAAAGAACCCAAACCCCAACCCATCCTTTCCACGTCCCGCAGCAAGAAGCACAAGTCCAAACGCAGTCCCCCTGGCCGCAGCCCAGACCGCAGGAAAGAGAAGACCCCGCCGAGGGAAAGGTGCCCCCAACCAAGGACAAACAAAGGAGCAAGGCAGGCCGACTCTGAGAGCGCAAGTGAGTGGGGGAAAAAATCCTGATAGCGCGGAGAGGTGTTGGCACGATTATTTCACACTTTCAGCTTTGTAGCCGAGCATGACCTCTGACATCTCCCTCGGCTCTTGTATGTGGGTGGGGTTCATCTAATGCTCGGCGCAGTCTCTGGTCCCTGACAATTTGTCTCATACCACTTTATAAGGACTTCCATTATTTATTACTTTATAGCGTTCCTAAAAGTGTCACTAAATCCAATTTTTGTATCATTGGATCTAAAACTTCCCTGACTGTGTGTGCTCAACATCCCTTTCACAACCAACTATATCCGTAAATATCTGGAATCTCTGCCAGTTCCCTGTACTTCTGTATTGACATTGGCAGAGCTATTCCAGCGATCCTCTTGTCTTCTGCGTTGCCACTCTCTGCATGTGCTCCAGTTTTCCCTGGGAAGAAGCTGTGCACTTGGGGTTGGTTCACACTGAAGTGTTGCATTAACCCCTTCATGACTGAGGCCCTTTTTTAATTTTTTGCACCCATGTTATATTCCACATTTTAGGCCTGAAAATTACGTAAAACCCCCCAACATTATATATTTTCTGAATGCCAAGACCCTATAGAATAAAATGGTGGTAGTTGAAAATTTTTATGTTGCGCAATATTAGCGCAACTCCTTATTAAACCCCAAAATTTAGTGACAAATTTAATTAAATGCCCCAAAACACAACAAATTACCCATTTTTTTAATGAAATATAAAAGATGAGGTTACAACGAGTAAAACGATACCCAACATGCCCAGTTTACAGATTGCGTGCGACCGTGAAACGGCGAAAAACTGATCCCCCCTCATAGTTCTCCTTTAAATACACAGTACAATGAAGCTCATGCTAGGTGCGCTGTTGTGTTGCTATTCATTCTGTATGGCACCCCACAACACCTCCTGGCAGGCATGCATTGCGCAGCAACACACGGTACCTCAATAGCGTGTGTGCTGCTGTGCAGTGGAAAAAAAATGGTGCATGCATTATATTTTCACCACATGGCACCACAACGCACTCTATTGCAGTACCATGCATTGCAATGCACACCCACTGAGAAATGCATTGGGGTGCCATTCGGCAACGCACCATCACAGCTAGCGGTGAACTCTCTCCCCAGCTATTGCCGATGTTCTATCGAAAGCTCCAACTAATTGAAATCTCCAACTACCTCACTTCCGGTGCTCAGAAAGACTGGAGCTCTACAGTTGCGGTGCGCATGGCGTTTTCAGAATACTCGTCGAGCTTGCCACATGCTGAATATTGTTAAAATGCAGCTGTACAGAAGCTCCGTCTGTCTTTGTGTTTTGCAGTCTAACGCCGTCTGGTCGAAATCTCCAACTTGCAAGTACCCGGCAGTGAGGTAGTTGGAGATTTTGACGAGTTGGAGTTTTCGATGGAACACCGCCTCACTTTTTGATTAGACATGTGAATAGAGTGCCTTGCCGGTGGGTTTTTAGCCGCGTGATTGACAACAAGCCTCTCTGGGGGAGTTGCTGCCACTCTGTAGCACAGCATTCAGCAGCGCACTGTTGTAAACATTTGTAATGTGGGCCGAGAGCAACGTCACAAACATATGTGAGGCGTCCTGAGCACAGCAGATCAGAGAACCCGCATAGCAGTCACATGACCTCTGTCAAATAAAAAATGTCTCTTGTAAAAATTGTGCATCGCAGTGCTTACATGATTGTATACTTGAGCATTATCGTTGGGGAGGAGGTGAGCCCTGACAGACCATTTACCTTTTTGTTGAATCCATTTGCAGCCGTCATCATTCGGGGGATCGGTGTGAACACTTCTCCAGACAGTGTGGTGAAAGCACTTCAACCTTACGCACAGCTATCGCCAAGTAATGTCCGCATCATGAAGAATCGGAAGAGCAACCATCGAGGATTCGGCTTTATAGATCTTAAAAATCACAAGGTGAGAGGTCTGCTGCGTGTTACTGGGGAGCAGATGGGGCTCGTCTGTCTTAAAGGAGAACTATGAGATGAGTGATTTCCACTCGCCTCATAGTTCCAGCCGACGTGTGACAATGAGACTGTCGCAGGTCGGCTCAGTAGATCGAGAGGTGAGCGAACACATACCGGGTTCCCTCACCTCTCGATCCTGTCACGGCTCTCTGCCGTGACAGGGGGAGAGGCTGGATTCCCCTCTCCCCGCTCCGATCTGCCAGCGCTGACTGGCGGAACGGACGGGGGAGGGGGCGGGTATAGCTGGCTCTGCCTCTAGATAGGCAGAGCCAGCTGTCACTCACGCAGCTGGGCGGATCCCGTCATCTATCCCGTCGGGATCCGCTCCAGGTGCGGCGTCTCAGTATACCGCGAGCTGTAGCTCCCTATATACTGAGCTTAGGGTGACGGGAGGATGCTAGTTTGTGTCCTCCCGTTACCCTAAGGAGAACTATGGGGAAAAACACTGACCCCATAGTTCTCCTTTAAGCCTTCTATGGCAAACCCCCCCCTCCCTCCCCCTTCCAGAAAAGCCAAGAGGAAGGTGATTGCCGGGATTATTATTACAAAACGCAATTATCTCTGTCCTTTCTTGAGGCTAAACTATGTAAAGAGACGCCATCATTCTGTTCATGTTGGGCAAAGTGACCGTTTGCCAGTTATACTTACCGCAGCTCCCTTGTAGCTCCTGCTTCGGTTGCAGCAGTCAATGGTATCCCAACGTGTCGAGCGCTAATGGGACTACTAATGTTGCTCCCTGTGGCACGAGATAGTGCCACGGCCACACACCATTCAAGGCAAGGTAACAGTGTCCCTAAAAAAACAGACCTCTGAGCCAAACATAACCCCCCCCCTACTCATTAGTTCTGTGCGAGTAGTAAATCATCTTAGTGTATTTTCTCTTTTGGTTGAATGTTCTTCAATAGGTTAATGCATCCCTTCTCAACCACAGTGCCTCAAAATGTTGGCACAGTGTCATGCCTCTCCATGGTGCAGGTGGGCCACCAAAGGGGGACCCTGTTATGAAAGTGGGGCTCCTGATGTGAAGAGGGTTCCTAATGTAAAGGGGGGGGGGGGATTCTGATATAAAAGCTTTGGTGTAAAAGGAGGACCTGTGATGTGAAGGGGTGAGGGCTCCTGATGTGCATGGGGGGGGACACCCCTTTTTTATGTGTGTTTTTACATGTGGCCCCCTCTTGAAACCCATACCAGAACCCTATCATAGGGTAAGGGTCTGAAATGGATTTTGAAGGGGCCACACCAAGAATTTGTATACTTTTAAAGGGTGAGAATTGCTTCATGCATAATAGGGTGGATGGGGAAAATACCACATTTATTATGTAGGACCTGAATGCATCTTCGTGACGAGATACAATGTTACAATTTTAGAGACCACTGGAGGGAATATGTAAATGTAACCATTGTTACTACAGGGATAGCAATGGTTACATTGATATATTTTTTTCTCCAGCATTCTCTTGAAATGTTACATTGTAGCTCATTACTAACAAGTATTTTCCTATGATCCTCAACTCCACCTACTGACCATAATGCAATATTTTCCTGATTCAGTTTGTTGTAAATGGATAAACCTATTTGGAGAGCATTCAAACAGAAGAAAAAAAATATTACACTAAGAACCAGGGATGCACCGATACCGGTATTTTGGTACCGAGTACCGATAAAAAAATGTTTCCGGTACTCGCCGATACCAATTACCAAGTAACAGAAGTCCCATTCAGGAAGCCAGGTGGCGTGTAATGACGCAACGCCCTGCTTTCTGATTGGCCAGGAGGCCGGCTCCATGCTCCCTCGTCACGAGATGACGAGGGAGCATGAAGCCAGCTTCCGCGTCATTACACGGCACCCGGCTTCCTGATTGGACGGCTCCGGCTGGGTACCGGAGGAAGGCTGCGTTCTCGCGGGGGTGACATGCTGGACGAAGGTGCATGGAGCCAGCTTCCTGATTGGCCAGCTTCCCGACCAATCAAGAAGCCATATTTAACAAGTGACGAGAGAGCATGGAGCGGCTTCCTGATACCGGAAGTACTCGTGCTAGGCATCGGAGCATTTGGGCGAGTACAAGTACTCACCCAAATACTCTGAATCGGCACCGATATCAATACTAGTATCGGTATCGGTGCATCCCTACTAAGAACTCCCCCCCCCCCCCCCCCCTCCCCCCCACCAGGTCTCCCCC